ATATATTTTTAATATTATATATACTAATAAAAATTTTATAATAGTGTAAGAATATATAATTAAAAAAATATATATTAAAAATTATATAATAAATATACAATATTAAAGAATAAATAAAAGAAGACCTATAATACATTGTTAAAAATATTAAACAATTAATAAAAAATATATAACTAAATAAATACTACATTTGTTAGAAAAATATACAGGTTTTTGTACATTAGTTATTTAAATTGTTCTTTTTAAAATTAAAAAAAAAAAGTTTTTTAGTCTTTTTTAAAATTCAATTTAAATATTTAAGCTCTTGCTTTTACTTTAAGAATTAAATATTAAAAATATGTTTTGAATATTAAAAAAAAATTCAACATTTTGAATATTAAAAAGAAATAAAATATTTTGAATATTAAAAAATATGTTATATTTATTTAAATAAATACAAAACAATATGAAGACTCAGTTAAAAATATATGACTTTTTTATAAATGAAATATTTGAATTTTTGTAAAAAAAAAAATTGCAACAAAACTATTTAAAAATTGGAGCGATAACAAAATTTTTAATTTTTCTTAATTCATAATTTCATGTTTTTTATTTATTTTATTTTTTTTTCTATTCTGATATTACACACATTATTTTCTATTACTTATTTTTTTTTTGTTTTTTTTTTCATTTATATAAAAAAAACTAATTTTATTTATGCATCCTTTCCGTGTGTTTACGCAACGTGGTCAGATAATAAAATGGCAACGAACACAGTTCGCAGACATGTTGCGGTTCCTTGTGGCATTCGACACGTTGATGACGCAACAGGCTGCTATAGGTTTGATATGATTTGTTGGGACATTTCGGACACAAAAACTTATTGAGACGTGGCGATTTTCTGGAACTGCGTCTAGTCGCAGTACTACTACTACGGGAGGGTGTAATCCTAGTTGATGGTGGTGGTGGGGGTGCTGTTCTTGATGTCATTGTATTACTTGATGAAGACACGGGCCCTATATAAGAAGCTTGAGTTGTTCGGTTTAATAATGCTGATGCTGAGGGTGATGCAGATGCAGATGATGATGATGGTGCTAATGGTAAATTTAAATTACAATGCAGACGCTGCTGTTTGTGGCCCAGTTTGACAGGGGATAGGAACTCAATCCTACCCTGGGGCTGATTTGAGTTTAAAATAAATAAATTCTGTGGATCTGAATAGACTTTATAGAAAAGATCGCCACCTAGACAAAAACAAATAAACAATTGATGGATGGGCGGGCGGTGGAAAGGGAACAGAAATCAACAGAAAAAAATGCACGTATGGAAGGGAGGATTATGATTAAAATTAATAAGTTTTGGTATGTATGTGTGTGCGAAGTGTAATATTAATTATTAATTTCGATTTTTTGGGGAATAATTGCAACAAAAATGGAAATGGAAATAGAAGAAAAAAGACCAAGAAAATACCATTGATATTGGAGTCATCATGTTGCATAAATATAGATAAAATATGAATGAATTTTTGTTTAAATATTTATATATGATTTTAAGGAAAATAATACATAAAATATAAAATTTTTTTCATCTCCTAATAAAAAACATTTTTAGTTATTTTTTATTATTTCCTTTTTTTAAATCCCTTTGGGAATAAATCATTTTTTTTTTTTAGTTTTATTCTTTTTTTTTTCGATAAATTTACAATTACATTTGTAATGAATTTTGAATGGAAAGAGTATAGAGGGGGAGGACACGACGATATGAGGATTATTCTTACAATTCTAATAATATAAATAATTAATTATTTATAACAGACAGACACAATCAGTATTAATATTACATATATCAATATATATATACATACACAACATTCAGAATTATTTAGGAATACAAAAGAAATTCTAAAAAAAAAAACAATTAAAAAACTATTTATTTTCTTAAATACATAATTTATATACATGACACTGTAGTAAATTAATTATATATATGATATATATATACAAGTCTGCTTACAATATATATCTTTTCAATCTAATCTAAAGTATTTGAGGTTATATCGAAAAAAAAAACAAATTAACCATGAATATTTTGCTTTGAAATTTCTAAATATGAGACAATTAAAAACAAAACAAAAAAATTTAAAAACATATTTTTAAATAAAAATTAAATAAAAATTAAAAAAAAATAATTTAAAAAAATATATTTTATAAAAATAAATTAAATACACTTTTTATTCATTAAAAAAATAAAAAAATAAAAAAAATAAAAAAAAAAAAATAAAAAAAATAGTTTTTAATATTGGAATAAAACCTCAACAATTGTTTCTTCATTTTTTGATCTATTTTTTTTTTAATTTAATGTGAATTTCATTTCAAAAACATATATTTTAATAAAAATTAAAAAAATATATTTTTTAAATTGTTTAAAAATATATATTTTGTAAAAAAAAAATTGATACACTTTTTATTTATTAAAAAAATTAACAAAAGTTAATCAAAAAATTTGTTGTTAAAATTGGAATTCGACCTTAAAAATTTGTCTTCATTTTTTAATGTTTTTTTTTTTCTTAATCTTATGTCGTTTTATATATTAATTTAGTGTATTTTGTATTTTTTAATTAATTTTTTTTTTTTCATTTCAAAAACACAAATTTTAATGAAAAAATTAAAAAAAAAAATAAAATATTTTTAAAATTGTTTAAAAATATATATTTTTTGTAAAAAAAAATCAAATACGTTTTTTATTCATTAAAAAATAAAAATAGTCAGTCAAAAAATTTGTTTTTAAAATCGGAATTCAACTTCAAATATTTTTCATAGTTTTTTAATGTTTTTTTTTAATAAAAAATTAAAAAATAGATTTTAAATAAAAAAATAGAATTAAAATTTTTGTAAAAAAAAAAAATTAATACATTTTTAATTTATAAGAAATAAAAATAGTCAACCAAAAAAATTGTTTTTAAAATTGGAATTCAAACTCAAATATTTTTCTTAATTTTTTAATAAAATTTAAATTAATAAAAAATTTTAATAAAAAATTAAAAAAAAAATATTTGAGTTTGAATTACAATTTAAAAAACAATTTTTTGGTTGACTATTTTTATTTCTTATGAATTAAAAATGTATTAAATTTTTTTTACAAAAATTTAAATTCTATTTTTCTATTTAAAATCTATTTTTTAACTTTTTATTAAAAAAAAAAAAAACATTAAAAAACTAAGAAAAATATTTGAAGTTGAATTTTATTCATTATATTTATTTTTAAACAATTTTAAAAATATTTTTAATTTAAAAAAAAAAACATTTTTATTTTTAAACAATTTTAAAAATATTTTTATTTATATATTTTTTTTTAAATAAAAATACATTAAAAAAATTAAGAAACCTATTTGAGGTTGATTTCCATTTTTAAAAACAATTTCTTTGTTTTTTTTTTATTTTCTTAATTAATAAAAAATGTATTAACATTTTTTTACAAAATATAATATATATTTTGTAAAAAATTTAAATACGTTTAGCAGTGATTAAAAAAATAAAACTAGTCAATCAAAAAAAAATTGATTTTAAAATTAGAATTCAACTTCAAATATTTTTCATGGTTTTTTAATGTTTTTTTTTTTTTAATAAAAAATTAAAAAATAGATTTTAAATAGAATTTAAATTTTTGTAAAAAAAAAAATTTAATACATTTTTAATTTATAAGAAAAAATAAAATAAAAATAGTCAACCAAAAAAATTGTTTTTAAAATTGGAATTCAAACTCAAATATTTTTCTTAATTTTTTAATAAAAAAATTAAAAAAAAATGTTTTAGATTTTTTTTTAAATTAAATACATTTTTTATTCATAAAAAAAAAATAAAAATAGTCAATCAAAAAAAATTGTTTTTTTAAATTGAAATTCAACCTAAAACTTGTTTCTGCATTTTTTAATGTATTTTCTAATTTGTTTTTAGTTTAATAACAATTTAATTTAATGACAATTTCATTAAAAAAATATTTTTAAAATTGTTTAAAAAAATATATTTTGTAAAAAATTAAAAAAATATTTTAGATCTTTTTTAAAATTAAATACATTTTTTATTCATAAAAAAGAATAAAAATAGTCAATCAAAAAAAATTGTTTTTAAAATTGAAATTCAACCTAAAACTTGTTTCTGCATTTTTTAATGTATTTTCTAATTTGTTTTTAGTTTAATAACAATTTAATTTAATGACAATTTCATTAAAAAAATATTTTTAAAAATGTTTATTTTTTTTTATTCATTTAAAAAAGAAAAAACCTAAAGATAGTCAATCAAAAAATGTGGTTTAAAAATGGAATTTAACTTCAAATATTTCTTCTAATTTTTTTTAATGTATTTTGTATTTTTTTTTTAATTAAAAAAAAATTTAAAAAAAAATTAAAAAAAATTAATAATCCAAATTTTTAACAAATATCGCAAAATATTCAGTTTTATGCCCATATAACCTCAAATATTTTAATTTCGATTGAAAAGAAAAATCTAACCTAAATTATGTTTCTATAAATCCTATTCTTAAATCTTAGTTGGAAATAACGCTCAATGTAATGCTATTTTTTTTACTCTTGACAAGGATAAGGGGAAAGGGCAAGAGGGGTATGTCCTTAAAAAAAATTACAAAAACATAAGGACTGAAAATCAGGTTCTGGTGTCGAAGAGATACTCTCTTCGTATTTTAAAATTCATATTATCGTCTTTGTTATGGTTTCAAATTTAGTTTTTAAAGTTAAAAAATTTTTGAATTTGGGGGAAGTACTGTGCAATTTTTTACCAGTTTTTTCATGAAAATGTCGAATATTATGACCAATTCTTATAAAAGGATCAATTAAGACATGGAATGTGGTTTATGGGTAAATGTACTGTACAAACTTATGTCCACTTTAGCAATAGAATACCCAGAATTTCATCAAAATGATGTTTAAGGTAATTGTATTAATGAAAAAAATATTAAAAAGATAAATTTTAATTTTTGCGAAATAAAGTACTGTACACAACATGTTAAAGTTTTAAACATGTATGAGAAATTACAAAAAAAATTGTCTTCTAATTTTTTCAGTCCATGTTTTTCTTTTTTCTCCACTTTCCCCCATCTCCCTTCCCCCCTCCTGACACATTTTACCCAACTTTTCCCTAATCCTTTTCATTTCTCAAATCCAAATCATGGGCCGACTTGGCATGCTGAACCAACGAACAGCGATAATAGTATTTCGTTTGACAAATCCGACAAGAGAATTTCGGTTCACGATTGCATTCGACACGAAGGTGGCGATTCAAGTTGCAACGCATGGTATAGGATTTGGGACAATTGGGACAGGCAAAGGGTTTACTGCTGCCACTGTCACGTGTCGAATTTTTGGTTTTTTTGGCAGATGAGCCGGCTGCGCCAGCAAGCGAAGAGGAACGTGAGGAAGAAGATTTGCGTTTGGAATTATTTGGATAATACATAATATCGAAATCATCATCATCGTCGTCATTGTTATTTCCTGCAAAATCCTCCTCATCATCATCGGTAATGTCATAGATTTCAGATTCCTCAATATTTTCATAGGCCTGCCGGTTTGGGAGGGAAATTTTGCCAGCAGCTGCTGAGGTCGATGCCTGAGGATATCTCACCGGATATACCTCATCTTTCTCCAAATCCACTTCATGTTTGACAATCAGTAAATCTGGCGATTCAATCCTTTCATTTTTAAGTTCACATTTGAGGTTATCCTCTTCTGCAAACATTTCATTTTCGATTTTTTCCAAATTTTTTTTATTTTCATAACGTAATGCAATGACATTTTTGTTTTGCAGTGTGCGTTTTGTTAGTATCAAATGAAAAGAAGAAAGAACGAAACAAAAAAGAAATGTGAGAAAAAAAAATGAAACACCAGAATTGAACGACAGAAATTCGAAAAAAAAAAAGCTAAAAAGAGCAATGCCACAACACTACAAACTGGATTTTGAAAACTACCATGTTATGATACAATAAAATGCTGTGATTCTTGCAAATCAATAGCAATTATTATTTACAAAACAATTCTAGCATTACACATCAAGCGTTATTTCCAAAAAAAAAATAAAATTGAAATTTCAAATTTACAATTTTTGAAATATTTTTTTCAAACATATTTTTAAGTATACAACAATTTTTTGGGATATGTATTATATAGGGAATTTTATAATAAATATTTTTTTTTTTAGAAATAAGTTCCCTTGGGGAGTTGAATATTTTTTCACTTTTTTTTTTTTTTTTTTGTATAGCACCAATATAATGTTTATAAACATAATATCTAAAAATGTTGCAGCAACATGTTTCAGAAATCCTTGCCTTTTCATGATAATGTCCTTGGGGACCCAACCTATAATTTGGGGTCTAAATAACGTCAGGAAAAAATTCCAAAGAAACAAATCTAAATGGAAGGTCTTCACGTTTTTAAAATCCCTATTTTTTATTTATTTTATTATTTATTTATTTATTTATTTTTTTTTTTTTTTTTTTTGTAGCCTGGGGCCTTTACTTTTCTGAAGGGGAAGTTCTGTTTTTTTTCTCTTGGTGATTTTCCAAAAAAATAACGATGTCTTCCAAACTTCTTCGAAACTTGAAGATTAGCTCGCCCATTCCAAAAAAACAAACAGATTTTAGAATCAATTTTGTAAGGGAATATTTCCGGAGTCTAAATCCCACAAATTTCAGATACAAAAAAATTATTTTGGAAATTTTTAAATTTCCTATTTTTTTTTAAGGATTTTCCGAAGATGACCATAAAACTTCCTCAAAACATGAAGACTAGCTCGTCCATTCAAAAAAAAAAGATTTTAGAATCAATTTTGTTGGGAAAGGTTTTCGGAGTAGGATTCCCTCAGATTTTGGAAAAAAAAATTGGATTTTTTTTACATTTCCAATTTTTTTTTTTTAGTAGCTTGGGGCGTCTCTTTCCTGAAAGGGATTTTTTTTTTGAGAATTCTCCGAAAATATCGAAGCCTCTCAAACTTCATCAAAAAAATTTTAGAAGATTAGCTCGTCCATTCCAACAAAAAAAAAAGGATTTTAGAATCAATTTTGAGAGTGAATGAAAAAGATTTTAGAAAAAAATATTTTTTTTAGAAATTTTTACATTTCCTATTTTTTATTGGTAGCCTGGGGCTTCCTTTCCGGAAGGAAATTCCTGTTTTTTTTTTTTTTTTTTTTTTATGAGAATTTTCCGAAAATATCGATATTTCCTAAACTTCCTCCAAACATGAAGATTAGGTTGTCCATTCCAAAAAAAATAAAATTTTTAGAAATTTTTACATTTCCTTTTTTTTTTGGTAGCCTGGGGCTTTCTCTTTCTGATGTTTTTTTAAAGAATTTTCGAAAATATTGATATCTCCTAAACTTCTTCGAAACCTGAAAAATAGGTCGTCCATTCCAAAAAAAAAAAAAATTTTAGAATCAATTTTGAAAGTGATTGTTTCCAGAGTCTGATTCTCACAGATTTTAGAAAAAAATATTTTTTGGACTTTTTTTACATTTCCTAATTTTTTTTTTTTTTTTTTTCTGGGTTTTATTTTACATCTCCTAATTTTTATTTGTTGGTAGCCTGGGGCTTCTCTTTCCTTTAAGGGATTTTTTTTTTTTGAAAATTTTCGATAATATCGAAGTCTTTCAAACAAAAATTAAAGATTAGCTCGCCCATTCCATAAAAAAAAAAGATTTTAGAATCAATTTCCTTTTTTTTTCTTTTTTTTTTTTTTTTTTTTTTTGAAAAAATCCAGTTTTTGAAGAAATATTTTTTTACTGGGATAAAAACTGGTGTCTGATTCCCACAGGTTTAGAAAAAAAAAATAAATTAAAAAAAAACAGATTTTAGAATCAATTTTCAAAGTGAATGGTTCCGGAGGCTTACAAAGTCTGATTTCCATAGGTTTTGAAAAAAAATAATTTTTGGAAAAATCCAAAACCCGGGGTCTGATTCCGACAGGTTTTCAGTTTGAAAAAAAAAAAAAAAATTGGAAAAACCCCAGATTTTAGAATCAATTTTCAAAGCGAATGTTTCCGGAGACCTACAAGGATTGATTCGCATAAGTATTGAAAAAAAATGAAAAAACCAAAACCTGGGATAAAACCTAGGGTGTCTGTTCCCATAGGTTTTGAAAAAAAATACAATTTTTGGAAAAAAGGCGAAAACCTGAGATATTTCCATACCCGTTTTTTTTTTTAAAAATGCAAAGGTATACCCCTTGAACCATTTTCCAAATGCCGAGCATAGATTTATACGGTATCCTTAAATATTCTGAGAAGAGAAGCCTCAAATGCGAACCGGACAAAATGGCAAACGGCAGAATTTGGAAATATTTGAAAATGATCCGAGCTTATGCTTCATATCTAAGCTTTCCATTATTTCACATAAAAAGAACCCCAAGAAGCCTGGAAATCCTTAAATGTGGCCCTCAAGGACCTCAACGACACATCATTGCTTAAAAAGGAACAATCCTTAACAAATTAAGTTATTTTTTTACAAAATTTATGACACAAAAGTTCTAGGACTTTGGTAGTGAGTGGGTGGGTAACCCCGGAGAAGGGAGAGATCCCCCCTCCTCCTCGCTTCCCCTTGAATTTACATTTTCTTATTGTGTATGCCATGCTTTTGGCGCATGTGCAGCTTTAAATCGTATTTCCAGGAACAGGAGAAGGTACAGAACTCACACTGGAAGACGGTGCTGTTGGGTTTTTTGCTGCTAACCAGCGAGGCGGTTATGGCTCCGGAGGTGGTAGTTCCCAATATGCCACCTGCAACCGAGGCCGCCAAGGTAGAGGAGGAGGTGGAGTTGCTACCATTATTTCCCAAAATTTTATTCAAGGAATTTGAGGTGGATTTACCACCTCCGGATGAAGAGGATGTACCATGTTTGCTAGTGCTTGATGCCGCGGCGGCAGAAGTAGTGGAATTGGAGGAGGTATTCGTCGAGGCCAGCAACATATTGGAACCCAATAAATTGGCCAATTGATATGAGGCCGCCGCTGCGGCGGCTGCTGCCGATATTTGACATTCGCCACAGTTATCTGTGGCCGGATTGCAACAGGACGAGGAACCTGTGGAGGTGGGGCAGGAATTTTTCAAAGAAGCTGAAGAGCTGGAATGATGAGTGGGGTGATGATGGTGGTGTGGGGGTCGTCCAGAACTATTTGATGAACCTCCGCCGCTTGCGGCCAGGGTTTCTAGACTCACAACTCCCACACTGCCCACCATACCACCTCCCACTGTCCCTCCCCCTCCAGTAAGAGAGGAAGCAGATGCCATCATTCGTCCACTATTGGCAACTGGAGATGTTTCTGTCAGCGATCCACAGTTGTTCGAACACATTAGTGGCCCCGCTAAATTCGCCAAAGGTGACGAAGAGGCCGAGGAGGAGTTCAACCTTGGATTTTGACAACATTTATAGATTTTCTGAATACTCAGCTGATCCTGCTCATAATAGTCTGCCGACCCGGCAAGTGCATTCAATAAATTGGTGGAACAATCTAAGCTATTGCGACTGTGCGAGGAACGAGGCGTAGTCACGCCACACGAGTTGTTGGCATTCAAATTTGTGGCCACGGCTGTGGCACTGGAGGATGATGAGGACGACAACGTTGCTGCAACATTGGAACTAAGGGATTTACTAAAACTAAGGCTATTCGAGGAGCTGTTTAGAATATTGATGTTGTTGTTAGTATTGGAATTATTATTGATCTGGCTCTGGCCTAACGCGGTGGAAGAGTTGGTGGAGGAGGAAATTGAGTTGGTTTTTGAGATGAGGGGGTTATTTTCAAGGCCCAGACAACTGCCGCCACTGCTGCCAGATGGTTGTTGCTGTTGTTGTTGGTGCTGATGTTGCTGATGTTGTTGCTGCTGCTGCTGCTGTGAGTTGGCGGCCGCAGCTATAACAGCGGCTGCTGCTGAGGCTATATTATACAATGTCCGCAAATCTGCAAAAACAAAGCCATGATGGAGAAAATGGAAGCTAATTGGTTTTGTTTTGGTTGCTATTTTTTCATTTTTTTGGGTTTTTTTGAACAGATACTTTTTGATACAAAAGAAAATGGATACGAAAATATTGAAAAAATTTTAAAAATTTGAATAACTGTTGTGGTGTTGAGGGTCCAAAAATTATTTTTGAATAATTTTTTTTATAAAAATATATTTTAAAATATTTTTTTAACAATATATTTTAAAATATATTTTTTTAAAATTCAAAATTTAATTTAAAATAATTTTATATTAAAAAAAATTAATTACAATTTAAAATAATAAAAATATTTAAAAAAGTATTTGAAACTTTTTTCAATTTATTTTAAAATATTTTTTTATAAAAATATATTTTAACATAATTTTTTATAAAAAAAATATATTTTAAAATAATTTTTTGAATGGAAAAATTTATTTCAAAATAAATTTTTAATATTTTTTAACAATTTTATATAAAAAAATATTTGAAAAAATATTTTAAAATATTTTTTAAATAGAAAAAGATTTTTAAAATGCTTTTGCATTTTGAAAAAATATTTAAATAAATTTTGTAAAAAAAAATTAAAAATTTTGAAAAAAAAAAATAAAAATTTTGTAAAAAAAAAATTAAAAATTTTGAAAAAATATTTTCTTGTTTAATAAAATTATTCAAAAATATTTCAAAATATTTTTTAATAGAAAGAAAATACTTCAGCTGAATGGTAAATGTTATCTAGAGGAAAATTGAATCCAAAAATGCTTAAAATTTTGAAAATTTCCCCCTATATAAAAATTTGGGAAATTTTCAAAAAATTTCCCCATAAATACAAATTTGGGAAATTTTTGCTTTTTTCGATTTCAACAGTTTTGGAGTCTA